AAAAAAAAAAAAAAAAAAAAAAAGCTTACAATGTACCAGATACAACATATGTACAAGCTACCCTTACTCATGAAAATACATGAAGCAAGTAGAAAAGGGCCAACAAATCCCAAGGAAACAAAAAACTAACTAAACACAAGGGCAAATAAACTGAACAAACAACAGCTAAGCGAGCTACTGAAGCAAACACTACATCCTCCAAAGAAGCAGGGAAGCAGCATGAAAGACCAAACACTCCCAAAAACTCGGACCCGTTCACCCAAAAAACTGCACTGCTGTCGCAAAGGCAGCCTACAGGGGAGACAAGAGAAAGAACACAACCATCCGAGAAATCCACCCAACAAACTGCAGCAAAACAGAGGGATTAACAATTAATGGAGTTTAATTGCTCGAACTCCATCCATTCACTACAAGCTCCTCTAGCTATTTCAATCTCACTTTTCCAGCTTTTGTTAAACACCCAACAATTACGCGTTTTCCATAGCCACCATAATATATACGTAGAGAGACTAATACGATCATAGGTTACGGATTTCGACAAACAAATTTCCTGCCACCATTCATTGAAAGAGAGAGGGATTTTTCACACCATTCCATTCTAACCCCACAAGCTTCCAAACTGTTACTGCTCGAGTGCAATGGAAGAAGATATGTTCTAATGTTTCCTCAGAATCCCCACAAATGCAACAAATGGGGTCAACTGCTCCCACTCTATTCTTAATCTTATCAGAGGTGCTCAGAAATTTGTACCAACATCTCCAAATGAAATTTTTTATTTTTGGTTTTATTTTTAGAGACCAAGTTTTTTTCCACATGCGAGAGAAGGAGGAGGAGGATGCACTGGATTCAGGATGATTTATATTACCTTTTTTTAGCTTTAGACACACTTTGTATGCAGACTTCACAGTGAACATACCTGATTTATCCATCCTCCACTTCCGCTTATCTTTAACTTCACCTCTGATTAAAGGAGTAGCAAGTTACGTGTTTGAAAATTTGGAATTGATGGTATTGAAATCAAATTTGAAACACTATATAATACCGTGAATCTTTTGTTTTTTTTTGTTTTTATTTATAAAAATGGATATTGAATCAACTTTAAAACATCATCCTCAATAAGGAAAAAAAATAAAATCTATATTCCCAAAAGATCCACATGGAATAAAAAAAAAAAAAAATATTTTTTAACTAATTTTTAACTAACATCTATAAAGAAGGAAATAAAATATATACTTATCTTCATTTAAAATTTCAAAATTTAAATTATTTTAGAAATTTCTAAATTTAGTAAGTTTGAAATATTTAAGTGAGATTTTAATTACCATTTTAGGTAAATTCTTGACCTTAAACACGTACTTTAGAGAATATTGATATATATTTTAGCAAATAATTTAATCTTTATATAAATATTGTTTTAGTATTATATTTTATTATCTAATTTATAGTAAATAATTTAATCTTTATATAAATATTGTTTTAGTATAATATTTTATTATCTAATTAAATTATAGTATTATATTTTGTTATCTAATTAAATTATATTTGTAATATTAAAATAATATGAATAAAAAAATTATCTATATATATATATAATTACTAACTGATGCATTTAATAAAACATTTAATAAAACTTATTTTCATTTTTCTCCAAAAGGAGTTACATTTGTTTAATTAGTTACTCACTAATCTGATAAAACCGTTACACTTTAATATATATATTTTTATTATTTATTTTTTGGATGTTACACCTTAATATATATATTTTTATTATTTTTTGGATCAATTATAATTAATTCTAAATTTGGTAGTAAAATATTCAAATGTGTAATGACTAATGTTGTAACTTAAAGTTGATTGCCACATTTAAAGCTGTAACCGCTATATTTGGTTGCATTGTTGGAAGAAAAACATGATAGACACATTTTTTTTTTCTAAAAAACATAAAAACACTAATATTTTTTTTTATTTATGTTAATTTTCTTAATATATGCCATATATATATAAATTATTTTATTCATATTACTAATGTAAACGTTGTATGGTTAAAATATAAATTTAAATCTCAATTAATTTTGAATGATAAAAATATAACTTAAGAAAAAGTTATAATTTTAATATGATAGAAGTACGTGTTTAATTAATAAATAGAAACAAAAACGTGTTTTATATATGTGCTGCACAAGATCCAAATACTAATTTGAATTAAAATGTAGTTGACTTGATTTTTGTTTCACTTTTCATAGTAGACTAATCTTCAATAATAATCACCTACCCACGGTGGACACATGTTAATATGCACACCAATTACATCTCCGTCATTTATAATGCCAAGCTATTTTGACTGCACAGCAAAAAATTGCAAAAAGTCTTTCATAATTCCATCCTGTGCCTCTCTCTCTCTACAGCTTAATTTTCTCTCTCCAGTAAGCTCACCCAAAAATCTCACTCCAAGAAAAGCCACCAAAGCTAAAACCCTAACCAAGAACCGTACAGCAGCTGAGAATTATGTTCCCCGATCTGTCGATTGGAGGCTACTTTGAGCCGGTGATCTGGTGCATTCGATAGAGGACGACCGTGAAAATTTGAGGTGCTCTTTTTCTTTTTTCTTTTTGATTTTGGGGTTGATGTGAAGATGTATAAGAACCAGCTTCAGGAGCTGGCGCAGCGTAGCTGCTTCAATCTGCCGTCGTACACTTGCATCAGGGAAGGCCCCGATCACGCGCCACGGTTCAAGGCCTCCGTTAACTTTAATGGCGAGACATACGAGAGCCCTAGCTACTGCTCTACCCTCCGCCAGGCGGAACACTCTGCGGCTGAGGTGGCACTCAATGCCATATCCAGCGGTGGACCTACCAGCTCCCTCGCCGCTAGAATTCTCGTAAGTCTGTGTTCTGTTTTTATTTTTTTATTTTCTTATGCGAATGCGATGATTTTCTAAAGGACAAATGCGTTGTTTGTTAATGTTTTCTTATTTTTCTTGTGTTGATTTTGTTATGCTAATTTCTCTAGCTGCTGTGATTTATTTTAGTGGACTTACTTTGCTGGTTTTGTCGAGATTCAGAAAAGAGAATAAAAGATGGAGATATAAGGGTACACATAACTGGGTAGTGGCCATGTACTTTTATTATGAGCTATGGAATGGACCTCTGTTCATAAAATTTTAGCTAAGGTTGTTTTGTGGACCTGATGAAAAAGTGACAGTAAGTGTGGATAGTGATTGTCACTTCGGTTTTGTTGGTTTAGGATGACTTGGTTATCTGTTTGATGGGTTCTGTGAGTGTTCACGATTCCCCTCTATTAGTATGTAGTGGTATCATAATTTGACATCATATGTGGAAATCTTTGTTGTGTTCAGCTCTTTTATTTATTTGCTTTCATCCTTGTGCATTTTTGTGTGTTGACTATCATTATGGTACCATTATAGTCTTTTGTTCTTTTTTTTTTTTTTCATTTCTTTCATCTTTTCTCCTATTGTTAATTTATCTTAACGGAAACATGCGTTGTGCTAGATTTTGTATTAGCAACATGATATAGAAGTCTAATGCATTTGTTGGAGGGTGAGTGCATTTTAGTGTATGATATAGTGATTCTTAATGTAAATTTATCATCTTAATAATCATCAAGCCTTTTCCTAAACGTTCAAACTGTCCATTCTGTAGCATTTTAAGCATTTTGGCTACTTTTATTTAACATAGGTGACAGTTGCGGGCTTATGATTTGTTTCCGACTGACAGAAAACAAATTGAAGAGTGTTTATCTGTTGTTTGGTGTAGATTAAATTCTATTAGTGTGTTGTTTGTTTTTTAGTGGCCAGCACATGACTTTTTATGCTTCATATCCCGCCTGTCGCTTAAAAGTTTTTCTTGATTTGCACGGCACTCCATGGAGTGGTCTGGATGACGCTATGCGGCCATTACAAGTACTGGTAGAATCAAGTGGATCGATTCTTTTCTCCAGCTTTTGATAAGAAATAAAAAGTATATACTAAAACTTACCCTTTGCGCAATTTTTTTTTAATAAAAAAATGATTTTGAGCCTGCTTCCTTAATAAGATTGACGTTATTGAGTTCAATTAAATCCAAAATTTCTTATGATGCATCTCAAAACTTTGAATGAGATAGGACGTGCGCGATTCTCAATTTCTTTTTCACATATTGTGAGACTGTTCTGGCAATCTTTAATTCAAAACATTGGAGTTCAGCTGTGTAGCTGTCACGTGCTGGTTTTGTGAGCATCAAATGATGATCAAGGCAGAATCATGGGAAAGAAAATGTGGACGTCCCACTTTAGATTGTTTATACAGAAAAGTAAGGTTTATTACAAATCAAGCCGAGGTTAAAATGATTAGATACATTTGTATCCATACCAATTCTTAAGTTTTACATCTTGCTGATCTATTTAGAAAGCTTGTATTGATACTTGGCCTGCCAAATTTAGGTCAGCACTAGTGCAAGAATCTAGTCTGTGATAAGAGAGAATATTCCTTCAGCTCTTTTTCAGTTTGGGAAAAAAATCTTAAAATTAGTTATTAGAATGATTTATTTTGCAATTAAGTTATATGACACAGTGTTATGCTGCACAGGAATGATGCATGCTCAGCAACATTAAATCCATGTTTAATCAGTGACAAAATTATCTTAAACTCACTCCAAGGATCTTGAAAGAGATAATTAAATTTATTTGTACACAAGATGGATTACCAATCCTCATTTCTACCCCTGAACTCATGAAGTTCATCATTACTAAAAGAATGTGGATTGGTATAGGTTAATTTATGCGAATAATTATTCTCATTTATTTCTTTATTATTTTTTTATGCGCCTATTTGACATTGGCTATGAAGTAAATAGAGGTTAGGCATTGATGGACGATAAATATTTAGCAGTTGTATAAATGGAGTGGCATGTCCGTTTGCACGTGTAAATATTCACCCATGTTCTGGACTTCAATGACTCATCTTCTAAATATATTTGTAACTAAGTTATGGACTGCAAAGTGAACTTTGTGGGCCAAAAGGCCATGCTGCTTCGTACTTTTCTCTCATCATGTGTCTGGGGTTTCATCTTTCTCATTTCGGTTTATCCCGCTAATGCTGTTGCTGAAACCACATTGCAGGATGAAACAGGCGTGTATAAGAATCTCTTGCAAGAGGTCTCACAAAGAGTGGGGGGATGCATGCCTTCTTATACAACTTTCAGATCTGGTCGAGGCCACCTTCCCGTTTTCACCTGTACGGTGGAGTTGGTGGGTGTTCTATTCACTGGCGATCCAGCTAAGAGCAAGAAGCAAGCAGAGAAGAATGCGGCCATGGTGGCTTGGTTATCTCTCAAATCATGTATGTGAGGATCCCTGTTATTTTGACATAAAATAGATGTGCATTGCATCCTTATATTGTGTAGCCTGTAGGATGGCATCGGTATAGTGATCTTTGTTTCCCCTATGGATGTGAATTTAACAACCAATGGAATGGATTTTTCAAGCACCGTGATATTAAAAGTTTTATTGACACTGAAAAGTGAAAGCGGAAATGGGCTTTAACATTGAGAGAAGAAAGATAAGAGGGAACAAAATTAACGTAGGACTTGAGGCTCAACTTAGTCCTACTTGAGAATTAATTGATATGGACCACTGAGAGTACGTAGAGCTTGGCATCATTTTTTTTTTTTTTTTTTTTTTCTTGTCTTATCCAGTGGCGCAGCAGTCAGAGACCCCATTTGAGAAGACCCACAAGGACGAACAGGAGCACGTGACGGTAGCCCGGGCCCTTCAAAAGTACCTAATAAAGGCCAGGCTGGCAAGACTCCCCTTCCCGATAAAATTCCCGACTGTAAGCCCAAGGCCATCGAGCACACACCATTCCTCCCCAACCTCGAAAATACTTCCCTTAATCTGCCCCAAGATGGCCAACTGCAGCAGCAGGCCTGCTTCGCCAGCAACAAGCAAAAACAGCCCTACATTCCAAAAGAATGTGAACACAACCCAAACCCAGCCTGTAATCACGACACCCACGAACGAGAGCTGCTTGTCGTCGGCTGACAACTTTAAGCTTTGGGCTGGCCAGAAATTCCCTGCAGCAAGTGCACCACCGTACATTCCTGTAAGGCACAGTAAGCCGCATGGCAGAGTTGCCCCGCTTGTGACTATACGGAACATGGTTCCTGTTTTCTCGGCCCCACCACCAGCGATGAGGCCTCCGGCCATTGGGGTTGCACCACCTGTCTCCATAAGACAGGCTGTCCCTGTATATGCTGCTCCAGTTTGCAAGGATCTACCCATGGTGCACCCGGTTGTTAAAGCAGACGATCGGCAGGCACCGAGGTTGCTGACAGCTAAGGCAGAAGGGCATCCATTTGCTAGAGCTGCTCCAGGTACACTGTCTGGCGCACCATTTTCCAAGCTTCCTTTGTTGTGATGGAACATTACAAATACTACCGGTGGGGTGTATTTATCGAGGGATTTGGTGAGAGGTTTTGAAATCCTTATACCAATGAGACATGTTTGCTAGAAGAAATTGGATCAGTAGATTTCAAATCCCTCACACACTACACATTTCATATTAAAATCCTTGTACAAATGCACTGAGATATGGTTAGGCTAGAAAAAAAAATGGATCAACAGATTTGAAATCTCTCACACACTACACATTTCATATTAACTCTATGCACATCTCACACTGCACACATTCGATCCTTATATTATAAAATAACAGTTGATTAAATTATTTCAAGACTTGTAGATTTCAAATAAACTTCAATTCAAACAGAACTTTGAGGCTTAATTACTGAAGAACCTGGTTATTTTTTAAAATTATTAACACACCACATTGGTACATTCTTTTATACAAGACAAATTGCATTCATAGGATTGAATTCATAGCTATTACAAGCACTGACGTGTATTTTCTATTTTGGGATATGATTAATTACTTCTAGTCGGGTTCAACGTCATAGATATTCTCTCAACCGTTTGGTTAGAGTTGAGGAGCTCCTCTGATTTGAAGTTACTGTTAGTTTCTGCAGTGCCAAATTCTGAAGTTCCAGCAGGTCAAGTCGGGCTGCCTTCGTCTGAAACTATCACTGTTCCAGCCGAGCCAGTTGCTAAGGTTTGTGGTCCACCAGTCAGCTTGAGAGTAGCTGCTGACAAGACTAGGATTGCAGTGAAGGACAAGCTGCAGGAGTCCAAGGAGATTGAAGATTTGAAACATCTCAAGATATGAGAGCTTAGAATTGCATGAAATTACAGTTGATCTTCGATCATCATGACCTATGTAGGTCGCGGCTTTATTTTCGGTTAGTTAAATTATGTTCCTTGTAGTGGATAAATTACATGTTGAAAAGTTCAAAAAATATTCTCAACACCATCCCTGCAGTTCAATCCGCTGATCATTTTTCATTTGCCTTTTGAATGACCCCAAGAAAATTGAGTGGGTCGAAATTCAAAGCGGAGTATATGTAGCGTGGAGTGATATGCTATATGGCTGTGTGTGTATCTGGTACTAAATGTTTATAGATTTTTTTTTTTTTTTTTTTTTTTTTAAATCAATTATGATTCTGTTAAATCTCTTTATTTAAAATTAACATAGCTATCTAAAAATTATGTGATTGAAGAACATTTAATTGGTGATTTTTACTAGTTCAATACTGATATGAATTGAGAAGTATATGTAAAAAAATTAAAAATTTTATTTTAACAATGTTCTTAAAAACTAAAATAATTTAAATTTATAGAAAACATCACTTTGTGTTTTAATATAATTGTCAAATTATTTTTTTAATCATAATAGTAAAACACCCGTATATTAAATGAAAATATAAACTTATATTAATTGTTTTACTGATATCATGTAAGAATATCAATGTTATTTACTCAATATTATTTACTATTACCCAATGTAGAATGTGTTAGTTGAATATTAAGTAAAAGATATTATTTCTTTTACTTAATTAAATGCCTAATAGATCAAGTGTCATATCAGTTTTAGTTTCATAAGTTTTTGACTTTATATGTAATCTAAGAATTTGGATAAATAATTATTTATTTTTATTAGACCAACAACATACCAATTAGATTTTAAATAAATATCATTTTTAAAACAATAATATCATATTATTTCATCTTTGAAATGAGCAAAATAGGAATATTGAAGAAAAATTGAGAAATAAATTAATATAATTGATTTAGTGAAGAAATGTAATAGAAAAAAAAATGGACCAAAAAAGAAAGTATTAAGGTAACTATGGATATTAAGGTAACTATGGATTGAAGATAGTTGGTGAAAACTCAATTGTAACTTAGAAACTCTAATGGCATGATTGATATGAGTGAATGACATGAGAATGGAATGTTCATTCCCTTACTCATTTCTTATCCCATGATTGGTATGTTTTTTGGAAAGGAATAATCATTCCAATGGGAATGACAAAACCCATCTCCATGGGATTAGCCATTCCATAGTTCATAGAAAGTTTTTTCATTCCCATGTATGTAAGAATCAAATTTTCAAAAAATAAAATTAATAAATAATAATAAAAAAAAATATAATATATATTATAAATCATGATTAAAATATATTAAATAAAATTATTTTAAAAAATAAAATTCGAATAAAAAAATTGATAACATACTTTACTTATATAAAAATAAAACTAAAAAAAGCATTTATATATAATTTGAAAATATATTATTTTAATTTTATATATTATTAAAAATATATTACTTTTAATATATATTATTATAAAATTTTAAAATAGATATTATTAAAAAATGTTACTTTTTATTTTTATATATTATTAAAAATATATTATTTTATAAAATAAATTCAAATAAAAAAATTGATTGTTTAATAAAAAAATATATATTATTAAAAATATATTACTTTTCATTTTTATATATTATTAAAAATGTATTATTTTTTATATATTAAAAGTATATTAATTTTAATAATATATTATTGTTTATATATTATTTAAAAATATATTATTTTATTTTTATATATTTTTAAAAATATATTATTTTTTTATATTATTAAAAAATATATTATTTTATTTTTATATATTTTTAAAAATATTTTATTTAATTTTTATATATTATTAACAAAAGCATTTATATATAATTTATTAAAATATAATTTTTTTTAAAAATCTTTTATTTATTTTTATAAAAAAAATGATAATGTCATTCCATTCAGGTCTTATTCCTTCTGCATACCAATGACAAAACTTGTTTCATTCAATTCCCATAATCATTTCATTCTTCAATTCATTTCATTCTTACGAAATTTCATTCCATCATATCAATCATGCCATAATTTCTCTCCTTTCCCCTCTCTAATTCGCTCCAGTCGCCGTCAATTTTTCTCGTATGTCTTCTCCGGCAGGCAGTCGGGCCGCCCTTTGCCTACGGATGACCCATAGCCGCACAACTTTTGCCTAGTTTCGTGCGGCCCCCCTCATCTTGCGCCGGAGGAGGATGACGGCTGCCGGAGGTTCGGGTGTCGCCAATCTCTGGTTGTCGATCGAAGTAGCGGTTTTTTGGCCTTCCTGGTCTCGAGGTGGTGTCGATGATGGTGCGGGGTTGGGGCTTGAGTGTGGCCCTAGTCGCTCGTGATGTCCTTGGTGGGTCAGAAGGGGATGAGGAGTGGCATTTATGACCCCTATTCCCATGCTCCCTTGTAGGCGGTGGATGGGAGGTCGGCGATGCCGAACTTTGGCAAGTGGTGTTGCTCGGGTCCGGAGAAGTGGTGGTGTGAAGGGGTGCGAGTTACTGCTCCTCTGGCTGTGGATCGGGCTTCCTCTTCTTGGAGTGGGTCGGGGTCTATGGTGTCGGCTAGCACTGTCAGACGGGCCAGCCCGGTCCGGCCCGCGGTTCAAACGGGGCGGGCCAAAATGGCCCGTATTTCTACGGGCTGGGAAATCCATGGCCCGTAGCCCGCCCGCATTAGCCCGCGGGCCAAATCGGCCCGCCCGCGGTTTTTTTTTTTTTACTTACTTTTTTTTATTGGTATTATTATTTTTTTGCAATTTATAATGCAATTTTGGTTTTTAAATTCAAACTATAAAAGGAAAAAAAAACAGTGGGAATTGAATAGAAATTACTTGTACGACATTTTGATCTCGATGGTGACCATATATTGTGATTGAATTGTGGTAAAATGAAAATGAAATTAAAAACTTTTATCCTTTAATAATTGGCTATTTTTAATAATTGTTGTTGCTATTATGCTATATTAAGGAAAGTGATTGGATTAGGACAATTAAAGTGCACGACCAATGTTTTGTCAGCTCCATCAAATCTCCACCTTGCTCAAATTCTTCACGTCTTTACATTTTTATTTCATATTTATATTATACAATTAAATTCAAGAAAAAAAAAGGATACAATACTTGTCATAAAAAAAAAATTACATTTTATTTCATATTTATATTATACAATTAAATTCAAATAAAAAAAAAATACAAATATACAATACTTGTCATAAAAAAAAAAAGAAAAAAAACGGGTTGGCCCGCGGTCCAGCCCTCGGGCCAAACGGGACGGTCCAAATAGGCCCGCGATTGAACGGGCTGGCCAAGCAAAGGCCCAAGCCCGTCCATTTAGGCGGGCGGATGGGCTAGCCCGCGGGCCATGGCCCGTTTTGGCAGTGCTAGAATGTCGGCTTTAGCTAGGCGTTGACAGTTTCGGGAGCCGGTCGGGATAGTTCATTGGGTGGTCGACCTGGGTTCTGCCGGTGCTTCGTGTTGGGCTTGGCTTGTCTTTTGGGGACGGTTATTGGTGTTTCTTTTGCTTAGCTTAGTTTGTGTTGTTTTGTATGTTTGGTTTTTTTTTTTTTTTTTTTTTTTTTTTT